CACCAAAGGATGAGTCACATAGCTTCTCTCAGAGGGCAAGTTTAGTTCCTGATGATTAGAAATGAGACGGGAACGAAGCAAGCTCTGCCATCCTCAGAAGGGATGGGGCTATGGGGGTGAGGCTGGCCAGCTGGGAGGGCCCTTCTAGGCCACGTTTCCTGGCCTCCCTGCCCCTCACACAAGTCTCCACCTCTGCCTGGGCTGGTTTTTCTGAGCACCATGAGCAGCGTCCTTTTGAGGGCTTATCTGATGCCACCTAGCTGTCCCCCCCCCCTGCCCCCCCCCCCCCCAGCCTCGATTCTCATCATTCTAGCCCCAGAGAAATGCACAGGCCACAGATCACCTGAGTGAGCCATGCATCTTCAGGTCTCTGGGCCTTTGCAGGGCTGTGTCCCTGCCCAAAATGTCCTTGCCCCCTCCGTAAACTCCTCCAGAATTTTCTGGGCCCAACTCTGCCCCTTGGGCAGGTTACTTGATGTCTCTGCAGCTCAGTGTTTTTAGCTGCAAGATGGGAGGGGTCATATGTGCCTTCGTCCCCTGGAAGGGAGGTGGAGGGTCAAGTGAGATAGTGGCTGGTAAGAGAAATGACAGAGGAAGAGGCTCAGAAATAACAACAGAAGTAGTAAGAGTAACAACGAATGTGGACTGAGCACTGCTACGTAGCTGGGAGCCCCATGTCGGTTTTCTCATCTCATCTTCACAGTAGCTCTGAAGCTGCCTGAAGGCAAATGTGCAGCTGCGTGAGATGGGTGGGAAGGGATGGTGAGCTGCGCAGGCAGGCTCCGGGTGGGACAGACCCGGGTCCTAATCCTGACTCAGCCTCTTATCTGCTCTGGACCACCCGGCATGATGTTTAACTTCTCCCAGCTTCAGGGTGTCATCTGAATTAGAGATGTGACATCACCGACTTCCTGGGGATGCCATACAAGGCAGAATGGGGTCAGTGCTCAGCATCGAGCTTGGCTCAGTGAATGCTGGCAATTATGATGAATTACATACTCACTTTGTGGACCTGCAAGAGTGGAAAATGGAAGCTCAAAAGGTCAGGTACCTTGGTCAGGGTCACACAGGTGGTAAGTGCTGGAGCTGAGGTGTGAACCTCGGTTTGGTGGCCTTCAGCGCCAAACCTCATTGCTTCTTGCACCGGGTGTCCAGACGTCTGGATTCCAGCTTTAATAGTCCACAGGGTGACTTGGCACAAGTCCCTTTCTATTTCTGGGCCTCAGATAAAGTGAGGGGGCGTCTCTAAGGTCTGAGAATCCATGTAGATGACATCCACACATCGTATCCTTGCAAATACTCAAGTAGGCTTTTTCTTGTTCTTGTTTTTTTAAGAATGAAAGGTGCTAGCTAATGGGGAGGTCTTCAGATCAATGTAGACTAGAGGGCGGGGGGCAGCTGCAGAGGAGATCAGCTCAGTATGCTGGAGGAAGCCAGAGAGCACTGCTATTGGCCAGGGGACAGAGATGGGACCAGCCCCGACCTCTTGCTGCCACAAGAGCAGGAAAGTAGAACACAGAGATAGTCCTGTCCTGAGCATCTTATTAATTCACATTCACCCATCCACTGCCCACATATTTATCCACCCATCCACCCATCCACTCATCTACCCACCCATCCATCCCCCACCCATCCATCCATCCTGCTCCCTACCTAGTCCTCATCTCATTGATCACATATCTATACATCTATTCACCAATCAATTCACTTGTGTCACCCCACCCACCCAGTACTTCCCAAGAGCTATGCCTGGGGACAAGAGATGGTGACATACATGTGTTTCTGACCCACGAGGAGCCCAGAGCCTACGTGACACAACAAAATCTGGAGGAAATTGTCCTCACGGAGGGGGAGATATAGCCCTGTCCAAGGTCCGATCTTCCCAGGCCGGGCTCATTTCCCCGTCAAAGCTGCATGTGGCTTAGGATGTCCTATAGTCTAGATCTCCCAGCCTGGTTTAGAGGGTGGCTGGAAGTCTCCTCTGGAGTGAGCAGCCCCTCACTCTTCTCAGGACTCCTCTGGGCCTGCAGGACAGTCCCTCAGGGACCCTATGGCCCCTGTGGCTGGCAGGCCCTAGCTCTGAATCTGAATCTGACTGCCTGGCCCCGGGCCTTCCTTCTTTGAGACCATCCTATACTAAAGATGCTGCAGAATTGGTTTCAGTGACCGAGAGCCTGGTCTGGACACTCTACTCTCGAGTGGCTTCGGCGTATCTATAACATGGCTTTGCCATAAGTGGCTATGTGACTATGGGTAGGACCCTCTCCCTCTAGTCCTGATGCTTCTGTTGTCTGTTTACTGGTTCGCCTCTGTATTGCTGCAAACGGAGTCCCCTTTCAACGGGTGATTTTATTCAGTGGGTGACTTCATGACTACACTAACCATACTTAGTGCTGAAGACCAGCCAGGCATTGTGCTGGCAAGCGCTTGTCACTTCCTAACTCATTTCATCCTCACAATAATCCTATGGTTTCCCCCAGGAAACTGAGGCACCGAGAGGGTAAGTAACTTGTTTACATTCACATAGCTAGAGAGGGATCTGAACCCAGGCTGCCTGGCTCCAGAGCATGAGCCTTCACCACTACCCTTGCCATACCGGGGACTCTGCTGTCCCTTCTACACCAACGGCCATCAGGCCCCAGCAAGGAGAACCGGGTGGCCAGGGGTCTTTCGGAAAAGACCCAGAAAGAGAGGCACAGGGGTCCGAGGATGCCGGGGTTCAAGGCACATCAGGGGACAAATCAAAGATCCCAGTTCTGGGGTCCCTGGTCTCTCTCTAGTCTCAGCAGCTACACTTCCTGGGCAGACTGACTGGCCGCTGTCCTTTAGGCCACCTAGACACAATCAGCATTGGGAAATGAGAATTGAGCTTTGCGGCCAGTGCTATGAAACACCGCCTAGCTGAGATGTTTCGTCAGCCTTCCTGGTGGACCTCAGAGCTCCTTTTTACGGTGGTTGTGTAACCTACATATCAATCCAAGCGCACCTCGCAGGGCTCTGCCCACGCGGCCGCCCCATCGCCCGGTGCCTGCTCTGGGAATTGCTCTGCTCCCCTCTTGGCCACATTTGCAGGACAAGATCATGAACAGCATCTCGTGATTGTACGATTGTACGAAGGCCAGGGGAACAGAATAAAAGATTGCTGATCTCCCTTGATTCCCACTTTGGAGCTGGGTTGGGGGTGGGGGTGCGAAGAAGACAAAGCACGGTCATTTCTGGCATCACCCACCGGGTTCTCTATCGCCCATCTGCCTGCGTCCTCCCCATCTACTTTCTCCTTTCCTCCGTGTGCCTCCCTCAGCCTGCAGCTCTAGGGTGATGTGATGCGGGCGGCCGCTCAGCCCTGGACAGGGGTAGCTCTTGCAGCGCCGGTGTCTGGAGGCAGAAGTTACCCCCTCCCCCTTCTGCCATCAGTCCTCAGCCCCTCGCTGCTGCTGAGTCACACTCTCCTCCCCATTTGGATAACGCTGCTGGCGGCTCCCACATCCCAAACTGATCGTGATGCCTCGAGCCTGCTCTGGGGCAGAAGGGAGAGAGGTCACGGTTAGTGCACATTTGGAGGGTAAGCAAAAAAGCCCAGCCGCTCACCCAGATGCTCACACTGCAGAAATGCCCTACGCATCTGGGGGCTGACTGACCTCTGGACGGACAGTTCTGTGCTTCTCTTTAGCCAAATGCTGGTTAGTTACAAAAATGCGCTTTGAAACCAAATAGGGATTACAGCGTGAGGAGTCTATGCAGCTTGGCTGAGACCGGAAAATGACAGTCTTTCCTATCAAAGCTTGCGATGCTGCTGTATCATAGCAGGTGCTAACAATGTCGTCGTCGGTGGTAGATGGTGAGAATGGCCACAATTAGCTCCTCTCGAAATCCATGCCCTTTGCAATGTGACTTGGGAGTTCCTCCTGGCAAGAGGTGGAGTCCACCTCCCTGTTCCTCGAGTCTGGGCAAGACTCTTGGCTTGTGTTGGCCATAGGATGTGACAAAATGACCGTGGACTAGCCCAGGCCAGTCTGCTGGGGGAGGCGGGAGCACACACGGCTGAGAAGAACCGTCCCCACTGGGGCCATCCTAGACCAGCCTGCGGTGCTGCTGAGATGAGCAGGGCTGTCCCCTGGGCCACCGCAGAGGCAGGCGTGTGAGGGAGTCCCGCTGAGAGCAGAAGTTCTGCCCCGCTGAGCCCAGCCTGAAGTGCCGACTCACAATCGAGAGCTAAATACACAGTTCGATTTTGACCCGCTAAGTTTTAGAGTACAGCAGCCCCCCAACTTATTCTCGGGGGACACGTTCTAAGACCTCGGGTGGATGCCCAGAGCTGCGGATAGTACCAAACCCTGTGTATACTATGATTTTTTTCCTCAACGTACATATCCATGATCAAGTTCAACTTACACATCAGGCACAGTAAGAGATTAACACTTGATGAATAACTGATAATAAAATAGAACAGTTATGCCACATGCTGTAATAAGTTATGTGGATGGCATCTCTCTCTCTCTCTCTCTCTCTCTCTCTCTAAGTATCTTGTTTTGTACTCACCCCTCTTGTGAAGATGGAGATGGTAGAGTGCCTACGTGCTGGGATGCAGTGAGATGAATGATACAGGTAAGCGACCGAGCATTAGGCTGCTATTGACCTTCTGACGTCTCGTGAGCAGAGAGTTATCTGCTACGGGACTGAGGCTGACTGCAGGTAGCTAGAACTACAGATAAGGGGAGCCTATTGTAGTTACGTAGCGAAAGCCTGCTAATAAAAAGTGTGGATTTTTTTTTGTAAGGGGGACAATTACAAAATGGGATCTAAGAGACACCATTAAAGCACTATTTTTCCATCGTGTAAACACCATTGTTAAATCAAAGAGAAGCAAGTGGCTTACTCCATGACTGTCCCCAAAGACACCAACAGGATTCAAGAATACGAGTCACGTCGCTCCATCTGCCCGGTACTTGCACTTCGGCCCACGGACGTCGCCCCCCCCCAGAGGAGGCCGCACCACTCACCAGAATCTTGGTGGTGTAGGCGCTGTTGATGGCAATGGCGTTGACGAGCAGCTCCATGGTCTTGGCGTTGATGGAGCTGGGGTCGGGGATCTCCTTGTAGTGGACGTCGCCGACGTAAGCCTGCACGACCGTCATGCGGTTGGTGGTCAGCGTGCCCGTCTTGTCCGAGCAGATGGCGGTGGCATTGCCCATGGTCTCACAGGCATCCAGGTGGCGTACCAGGTTGTTGTCTTTCATCATTTTCTGGGGGAAGAGGGTGAGGGGGAGGGCGACAGTGAGCAGAGGGAGCTGGGGGGCCAGGGTGCGGGGCACGATGGAAACAGGCAGTAAACGGGCCTCTGCCCATTGCTCTTTCCTTCCCACAAATGCAAAGGGCGTTCACTGCAACCTTGACATCTGAGCTCCTTGTGTGTGGCACGGCCTTTTCCTTCGCTTTGGTTTGAACCATTTAAAAGACTTAATGAATTGAATTTATTAATTTGAATTATGGAGATAATCTGTATTCCTTATGGAAAAAAATAAGGGAAAAAGGATATAAATTAAGGTTGGGTCCTTTCTGATTACCTCAGATGGTTTTCTCTTACACCCTAACAGAAAGAACCATTCCTTATCTATGAGTACTTTTCAAATACACCGTCTTTCTTTTACTGGTGCCTGGTTTTCATTTGGTTCCTCCAAAAATAAATAAATTTAGGTTGGATATGTGTGTTTATAGACATAGGATGGCATCTGGAAAAATATCAAAATATTAATGTCATTATTTCTGGGTGGTAGAGTTATAGATTTTTATTGCCTTCTTTTAAACATTTATAGATTCTTCTTTAAATGTTTTTTTTAATGTTTATTCATTTTTGAGAGAGAGAGAGACAGAGAGAGCGCGAGCAAGGGAGGGGTAGAGATGAAGGGAGATACAGAATCTAAAGCAGGCTCTAGGCTCTGAGCCGTCAGCACAGAGCCTGATGCAGGGCTTGAACCCATGAACCGCGAGATCATGACCTGAGCTGAAGTCGGACGCTTAACTGACTGAGTCACCCAGGTGCCCCTAAAAATCTACAGATTCTAAAAAAAAAAAATTCCATAGATCATAACCTGAGCCGAAGTCGGACACTTAACCGACTGAGCCACCCAGGTGCCCCAAAAAATCTACAGATTCTTAAAAACAAAATCTATAGGGGAGCCTAGGTGGCTCAGTCGGTTAAGTGTCCGACTTTGGCTCAGGTCATGATCTCACGGCTTGTGGGTTCAAGCCCCGTGTCGGGCTCTGTGCTGACAGCTCAGAGCCTGGAGCCTGCTTCAGATTCTGCGTCTCCCTCTCTCTCTGACCCTCCCCTGCTCACGCTGTCTCTCTCTCTCTCTCTCAGGAAAAAAAAACACCATAAAAAAAACTATAGATTCCATTTTCTGCATGGCATACATATTATAACTTGTATAATAAAAATCACGAATTTCTTTTCAATATAGATACACAGACAAGAAAAATCAGCCATAATGCCATCACCCAGAACTGATACAGCTTAGGTATCAACATCTTTTCTTTTCAAACTTACAACAAAGATGAAATCCTACCATATGTATTATTATTAATTTTCTGGTATTCATCTTCCTGTCTTTTCAGCTCCACTCCTAGCTTCTTTCAGGTTCCCAAGCAAGTCATGCAAATAAAGTCATTCTCCAGGAACTGTCGCTCTTAAGGCAGGCTCTCCCGACACGGGGGCCCTATCTGGCAAGGAGGGACATGAGAAGTTGCCAGAGGCTGAATCAGGCATAGCGCTAGCCTGCTCCTAGGAAGCCGATTTCCTTTTTTCTTGCTCCTCATCGCTCTTTTTAGAAAGGGAAAAAGTTCAAGGAGGATAATTGTAATACTAGTTCACGTTCCTACAAAATGGGTGTTGGTAGAGTTCCATGCTGTTGCCATTTTCTCTTATAACCTGTGATACTCATAATGCTTAATGTTTGCTGACTGGACGATCAACTTACAGACTTACCGTCTGCAAAGTTCTTCTGCACTTTCTGGTCTGATTTTACAACGAGGATTATTGTCATCCATTGTGGCAATTTGAAAAAGCCACGGCCAAGTGATCTGACCAGGATCACGCACCTAATGAGGGTTAAAGTTGGGACAGGAGCCCAGCTCTGTTTAACCTCACAGCCTGGACCATTCTATTGGGCCTCTGCCCATCTATAGTCTCGGAAGAGGGTTCGTCTGTCGGGCTCAGGAATATGCAGGTGGCTACGGAACACTGTAGATGTGGCTGGTCTGATGAGAAATGTGTGGCGCGTGTGAAATACATGTCGGATTTTGAAGACTTATGAAAAAAAGACATGTAAAATATCTCACCAGTGATTTTTAGATTGATTACATGTGGGATTGATAATAATTTGGACGTATGAGGTAAGGTAAATTATATTATTAATTAATGTCACTTGTTTCTTTTTACTCTTTCCTTTCAAAGTGACTCCAAGGGAATTTAAAATCACACATACGCTCATATGACATCTCTATTGGTCAGCGCTGATCTAAGTGTCATGTCTAGTGTTTTGACGGTGGCTCCCAGGGGGGCAGGCCAGGCTTGGAGAGGGGACAGTTCGCCCCTCCTGGGTTGGGGTGCTGTACTGAGTTTATCAAGTGACTGTATAGGTAACACTACCTAAGACAGCTGAAGGCACCAGGTGCCAGAGATTCAAACTGTAGACGGTGCAGAGGCCTAACGCTGTCGGTAGGTAATTCCTCCAAACTAACCCTGTGTGACTTTCAAAGATATACCCTGAGCTCAGCTGGGTTGTCCGCGGGGGTCCCAACTCATGGCTGTGTGGGAGTCTCCACTTCTGGGCGCCAGGCCCCCATGCAGCATCATGTTGTGACCTGTTTGGGCTCTGGTTTGTGGGATGGAGTTTCTACAAGAACCCTAAAGCAAGGAGACGATAAGGGCCGTATCCTTTACACAGAGCTGCCACTTTCTGGCACCCGCCCGGAGATCTCTTTTCTGTATGAAATTACATCGGTGAGCCCCGTCCAAATTCCAGCTTGGAAACTGACGCTCGCCGTGCCCTCTGGCAGCTTTGCCAACGTCCCGGAGCGAATGCCTTGTTTACAGGCACGCCTGGGCCTCCGTTCTCACGGGCACGTCCTGGCATCGGGGCCCTGGAAACCAGGAGTGCGAGGTGGGGAAACCAGGGGGCCGAGGGAAGAGAAGGAGCCCGCAATGTGAGCCAGGCTCGAAGTGCCCATGGAGAGGCTCAGCCCAGCATTCAGGCTCAGTGGAGGGTCACGGCCTGGAAGCAGGGGGCAGGGGGGCGCCGCCATCTGGGGGGGCACTAGGAACACCCCCAAGACCCAAGTTTCCGTAGCCAGCTTTCTTGGGCCTAGCCCTCTTCATTCAACTGCTTTTTAAGAAAAAGTTTATTATGCCTGCATGTGAGTGTATGAGCAAGCAGGGGAGGGGCAAAGAGAGAAAGAGACAGAGAGAGAACCCCAAGCAGGATCCACACCATCAGTGCAGAGCCTGATGCAGGGCTCGATCCCCACGAACCATGAGATCATGATCTGAGCCAATATCAAGAGTCCAGTGTTCAACCAACTGAGCCACAGGCCCTGGACCTCCCTGAGGGCATGCGAACTCTGGGTTCCTGCATCCGTCTTCTCTCCCAGCTTCCTCCACGCCCCCTCCCTCGTTCTTAGCTCGACTCCCAGCCCCACACCTGCCCCGTGGGCCGCCCCCACAGAGCCCGTGCTGGGGGCAGCAGCCAACTGCACCCACCTGGTCCCCTCTATCTCACCTTCACCGAGTAGGCCAGCGAGATGGTGACAGCCAGAGGGAGCCCCTCAGGCACGGCGACCACCAGCACCGTCACACCAATGATGAAGAACTTGACAAAGTACTGCACATAGACGGGCGTGCACTCGGGTAGCCATGGCTTCTTGTTGACCACGAAGGTGTCCACGGTGAAGTAGAGCACCAGGATGATCACTGTGATGGCCGACATCACCAGGCCTGTAACATGGGGGAGTAGGAGGGGGAAAGACCTGTTCAGGGCCTTTCCTGGGGGAGGGGGCCTGGGAAGCGAGATGCAGGCCAAACCCTTGGCCAGAAGGGCTCTGGGGCCAGGCCGACCTTGGCTCACATCTCAGCTCGGCCACGTACTTGCTTCGTGGCCTGGGACAGGTCCTTGACCCTCACAGAGCCTCAGTCTCCTCCTCTGTGCAATGGGGATGCATGTTGATTTCATGTGATTTTGTAAGGATCAAAGGCGATCAGCGCATGTAAAGTGCCTGCGCGACACCTTGTAGGTGCTCAAGAAATGTGCACTGAGAGACCATGTGAGTGAGTTAGAGCTGCTTGCATGTGCGCTCACACGACAGTGATGTGCAGCTGGTACCGCTTATTTACTCGTTCACCCAGACACCTAGTAGTTCCTATGTCAGGAACTAGGGCCACAGCAACAGAGAGGACAGAGTCCCTGTCCTCGGGCAGCTGAGACTCCAGAGCGGGGGCTGACGGGAAACAAGCCCACGAACAAGATAATTCAGATGGATAATGCTGCGGCGAAGAGCTTCAGGAGGGCAAGACGGAAAGCGACATGGGCATCAATGAGAAGACAACCCCAATGTCCATCGACAGACAAATGGATAAAGGAAACGTGGGACAGACACACGGCGGTACGTGACTCAGCCTTACAAAAGAAGGGAACCCTGCCATTTGCGACAACATGATGCACCTGCGGACGCCATGCTGAACGAGGGAAGGCAGATGCAGAAGGACTTACATGAGGAATATAAACAGTCAAACTCATCGAAGAAGAGAGTAGAAGGGTGCTTGCCAGGGGCTGTGGGGAGGCGGAAGGGGAGGGCTCTTCTTCAGGGGGTACAGAGTTTCAGTTACGCAACATAAGGAAGTTCTAGAGCTCTGCTTTACGCTGCTGTGCCTACAGCCAACAGGGCAGCCTTGTGCACTTTGATTGGTCAAGAATAGGTCTCCTGTTAAGTGTTCTTGGCACTTGCCCCCAGAACAGAAAACAGGACAGCTCATGAAAGGACACAAGGAAGTTTGGGGGGTGGTGGACGTGTTTCGTGCCTTGCTTGTGGTGACAGCATCATGGGTGTATGCACGTGTCCAAACTCATCAAGACGTACATTAAATGTGAGCCAGTTTTTGGTATATAATTGTATCTCAATAAAGCTTAAAACAACAACAACAGCAACAACATGGGCTGGCAGGGAGTGACTATTTTAGCGAGGGTGTCCAGGGAAGACTTCCTGGAGGAGGTGATACTTGAGAAGATAGGAAATGATGAGAAGGATCAGGCAGATGGTGACCTTTAGGAAGAGCGTTCCAGACAGAGGAAAGAGCAGGGAGCCCTTTTGCGGATGAGGAAACTGCGGCTCTGTGAGGCGAAGCGACTTGTTCAAGGCCACGGGCTAGAGGAGCGCTGTAGAATTAGCAGACGCAGGTGCCTACCTGCCCGGATCCCCCGGGACCCCCTTGCCGGTCGGGTGTGCGCGGCCCCATCTGCTGCAGGTAGCAGGCAGGGACCCTGAGGCTGCGCACACCTGCGGCCTCTGCCAGAGGAAGCTCGCGCTTGGGTGACCACAGCCTCTTTGTCGGGAAGTGTCTGGGAGGGCGCCTCCCCCCAACGTGATGGCCAACATCCAATGGCTGAGGCGTGGGGTCCAACAGCCCAGCCCCCTGGGCGTGAGGGGGCACGGACCCCGCAGAGGTAGGGAGAGACTGGGGTTTCACCAGAAAGTATCTGGCTTCCCCCCGGCCCTGTCGAGTCTCTTACCCGTTAGCGGTCTCACCTGAGTGCACCCTCGCCCTTGACAACCTCACTCCTACCCATCTCAGGCTCTGTTTCAGGGAGTTCAGCCGGAGAGAGAGTAGCAGAGGTGGGGTATGAACCTACATGTTTGACTTTGAACTCCATTCCCTGCGAGGCTGGGAGGAGGCTGGAGAGGAGCAAGGGCTTTGAAGGCCATGGAGTTCTCCTCCTCCTCCTCTTCCTCCTCCACCACGCTAGCTCGGTTCCCGCCCCCCCCCAACCCCCCCGAGGCCTGCTTCCATGGCCATGGCCGAGAATGGAGGAAACCCCTGGGCCCATCGCTCCCCCGCCTCCACCTCCAGCTGTGGAACTTCAGAGCCAGCTCTGCTCCCCTCTACCCGCCTCTGACAGTCACAGGGGCGGGCAGCCAAGCTCCCAGCAGCCGGGAGCTATCGCCAGGCCCCGAGTTTAAATATAGACAGTCAGGCCTGTAATTTGCCTCCCTTCTCCACGCTGTGGTGCCTATAATTAGAGCCGGGAGACAGCCAGGTGGGGAGGCCTCGGCGTTCGCCGTGTCCTGCGGGAGGAGAGGCCCAGGCCGTGTCAGCCGGGCAGGGCGCGCCCCACAGCTGGGCTCGGCTTCCCGGGCCAGGGGGGACCCCAGCAGCCGTCACCTGGAGCTGCCGGCTCGGTTGGGAAGCTGGGCTGTGCAGAGGCGCAGACAGGAGGCTTCGCACTGGGCTCCCGGCACTGCCCTCAACCTCTCGTCTCCCCTCTGCCCTGCAGCCGGCGTGGCTGATCCATCCCTGCCCTCCCTGACTCCAGCCTCTTACTTGAGCATCTGTGGTTGCTGTGGTGGAAAAGGGTGGGTCTCAGGGACCGTCTCAGGCAAGCCCCCACTCTGCAGGTGAGGTACTTGGGAGCCAGCCTGGGGTCCCACTGTGCGCCCCCCACTCCCCCTTGCCCCGTCCCCTGCGCTGCGCACTCACCCGCCTTGCCGATCTGCACAGCCAGCTTGGTGAGCTTGCCCTGAAGCACCGACTTCTCCTTCTTGTGCATGTTGGCCTTTTTTTTGTCGTCCGCGTCGCCGCCCTCGGCACTCTTGAGGGGCTGCATCTCCATGGCGGCTGCCCCGTCCTGCTGTTTGGCTGCAGAGCACACGCACACACACGCACACACGCACGCACACACACACACACACACAGACATGCACGCACCCAGGTCAGCCCGCTGGGTGGGGATACCGGCCCCCGCCCCGACTGCCCAGGGGAGTGTGGTGAGCATCCATTCGCTCCCTGCCTGGACCCCTGTGTCCGGCACACCCCTGTGATGTGGGGTCGGCCTCTTCCAGCTGCGGGAGGCTCTGGTCCCAGGGCCATGGCTGCCCTGCACCCGGGATCCAAGGGCTAGCAGGGAGTGACACAGTTCTACCCTGGATTCCCAGCAGGGTAGGCTGGGGTCCCCTCTGGGCCTGAACAAGCCCACAGATCCTTCCCAAATGGCCCCTCAGCTTTCCCCACTTTCAGACAAGGCAGGGAGGCTTGGACTTCCCCGGCTGGTCCTTGAGTATGTTGCTGGGTTATTAAGTAGTCACTAGGCAGGAGGGACAAAAAGGGGACTTAAAAGGTAGAAGAGAGTGTCCCTGTCCCTGGGTGATGAGCCCCCTCCTCCTTCAGTGCAGGACTGACTGGGGGGCCTGGGACCTATCTCTTAGCCCCCAAGGACCTCCAGGAACCAGTTTCAAGCCTTCAGCTGAATGGGCAGCATAGCTCAAAGGCTGGGGAAGGGCTGGCTCACACCTGTCTTCACTGGAGACGTCGCCATTTGGCCTGGAAACACATGAATCACAGCTACACCCCCCAAAGACGTCAGCACCTGGAGGTGCGGACGTGTCTGCCTCTGGCTTGGCTCTCAGAGCCCATGGGGAGGGGTTGTGGGGACCCCAGAAGCCGGTTAATACAAAAGGGTTACCTTTGCTCTGGCTGGCGTCCACATTGCCATCCTGCATTTTACCTACACGACAAAGAATTTTAACAGACAACAGAGAACAGACAAGACACGTTGATCATCACGAAGACGCAACAGGGCCACGGACGTTCATGTCACGGATGGAGGAAGGGCCCAGCCGACTCCGTCCCTCCACACGGGGACGCTGGGGACGCCCCGAGACAAGAGCAAACCTGGCCACCACATTGACTGCAGGGTCTGCCTTGATTCTCTGGGGGCTTGGAGAGAGAGCTCTGGTGGGGGATTATTTGGGCCCTGAGCATCTTAAGGTTAAATGACAGCCTTTGAGGGTAAAAGGGACCAGACTTGGCTGGCAGGAAGCGGCGGGGGGGGGGGGGGCGGTTCTCAGGCCCTCCCAGTGATTAATTTGGTTGGTGCTTTTTGTGAGCTGAGAGGAGGCAAAGGAAATGAGAGAGAGGGAGCGAGAGCGAGAGCGAGGGAAGAGAAAGATCCTAGAAAAGGGAGCAGATTGGTCAATGTGTTCCTTAGTTTCTGGCTCCAAGAGGGATGTATGTCGAATTCTACTTCCTCCTTTTTCCATCCGGAGGCGTGTGAAGCCACAGCATGGAGCCCCCCCTGCCCAGCCCTACTGAGAGTACTGCATGCAAAGGATGGGCAAGGGTTCCCCGATGGTGGGCTCCGAGGTGCCCTGACTGTATCCAGGGGGGTGGGGGGAGTGCCCTGGCTCTCAAGGGGATGCCGCTGACCCCTCCCCTCTACCGGGGTGTGTGTTTTTTATTCTGAGGTTGACTGGCTCGGTGCAGCCTCTACCCCGGCCCTGCATGCCAGGGCTGGAGGAAGGGCTGAAGCTGGGGCTGCGCACCGCCTCATCAGGGCTGCCCGGGAGGCCCCCTCCCCAGTCCCAGCCAGAGGCTTGTGGGCTGGCTTTGCAGCGTGGGAGGTACTGGTGGTCACAGTCGGCAGCTGACATACCTGTCCTCACCTGCTGGTACTGACGACAGGGGCTTTCCTCCCGTCCCCCGGGCCTGTCCACGGAGCTCACTCAGAGCTCTGCCCATGCGCCCTGACACCTCAGGAGGTGTGTCAGTAGGTCAGCCATCCTTGGCCATTTGCCACACAGCTGATTCTCAGAGCTCACGTTCTGTGAGAACCCGCCGGGCGCCAGGTGCGTGTATCACCTCCGTGATTTCATATAATCCTCACCGCATCCCTACCAGGGCACTCCTGTATTGCACCCATTTACAGATGAGAAACTGAGGCTCAGAGAGGCAGACGGCCTGCTCTGGTCCCAGGGGGTAAACGGAGAGCTGACCCCAAAGCGTGTCTATGCTTCCACCTCCGACTGGGGAGAAAGCAGCTATCCCTCGGCCCCCCCGAGCCCAGAGGAGGGGCAGCAAGGTGGCCCTGGTGGGACGAATCCCCTGTTTTGACACCAGTTAGCTGTGCAGCTTTACCTCTCCCAGTCTCAGCTTCCGCCTCTGTAAAATGGGCGTGCAACGTTCAGCTCCCAGAGCACCTGATGATTGCCTTAGTAATAACCACTCGCCCATTTAGCCCTTTGCAGTTTGTGAGTGTCACCTCCTGTGAATTTTCCTGATGCCCTGCAGGTGGGATAGGAAGGAGTCTCCTCCCTCTCATTTTCCAGGTGAGGAAACTGAGGCCGAGGGAGATTTAGAGGTAGCCCTCATTTCTGGAGCATCCTGACCTTAGCCCTGCCTCATTGGATCCATAGCACTGTCATCAGCATCCCTGTACTGCGCTGTGAGTCACTCGGAGGGGGGGAAGGGGCATTCCTGGGTCCCAGCCCCCTGCTATCTCCCTAAGGGAAATGCAGCGCTGTTCCCACTGCCTGGCACAGCAAAGGGTCAGCGACCCACCCAGGGGTCGAAAGAGAAGGGCCCGGTTGCTCTATTGAAAAGGTCTTTTTTGCTGGGTTAAAAACCAAATAGAAGCAGCCTTTTCAGAGCAAACAGGAATCAACTACAACAATTATTTTTATTTTCAAAAATAATTGTACTAACTGGGCTAAAGGGCGCTGGAGGACTTCTCTTTGATACTTGATTTTCGAAGACACAAAGGGGCCTCTATTTGCATTGCATATTATCAGATGCAATAGCCCATGTGCGTGCCCATTAACCAAGCTAGCAATTTCCTCTTTTATTTCCACAGTGATCACGTGGCTAGAAAAATAATCACCAATGCATATGTTCGAGGGGGGGAGCGGTGTTCTGGGGGTGCTTTGGTGCAGATGGCCTGGTTTCTCAGAAGCAAGGGACTTATTTGGGGCTCTCCTCAGCCAAACTGGGGCTCGGCTGTCCCCGGAACTGGGGGAGGGCAGCTAAATCGGACTCCACGCGCAACCTGGCGGGTGGGCTGTGTTTCAGGGGAGCCGGGACGGGGCCCCGAGGCAGAGTCTTGGAAGCCCTTCCGCATCAGATGTCAGATGCAGCTTTGACAAACAGGTCTGTTCTCTTTGTGCATCGCCAGGGACACGGGTGTGGAAAGCACGTGTGTGGAGGGTTCATGGTGAGGCGGCCTGATAGACAAGCTCTGGGGAGACCGAGCGCTAACGTGGTGAAGTGGGAAATGTCCTTTCTCTCGCCTGTGCCTCCATTTCTTCCTCCGTGAATGTGACACTTTCAACCAAGGCGATGCTTATGAAAAGCACCGCAACGTGTCCTGTGAATGTCTGGGGTTCAGCGGGATGTATTTACTAATTTTGATTATAAGTGATGTATTACGTAGTGATATTATTAATAAGTGGGAAAGAAATAATAAAATAAGGGTAAAAATCATAATGCCTCCAAGATGAATGGAATACACCCACCTTCAGTTGGGAGGAGGACTGGGGGGTGGAGTCAGGGGGACCACGGCCGGCTGGATGGGTGTGTTTTCTACACCGAAATCATCCTGATCCAGCTCAGAGGAAGGAGGGAGAGGAACGGTTAATTCTCTCATTGACCAAGCCTCAACCTAGCGCTTCTCAACCTCTAATGCACTCTGGCCTAGAGCCTGGAGAATGCAGATTCTCATCCAGTGGGTCTGGGCTCGGGCCTGAGATTCTGCATTTCTAAGAGGCTCCTAGGAGAGGTCCAGGCTTCAGGCCCTCTGATCACATTTTGAGTAGCAACGATTTAGGGTACTATTTCCCAAAGTACATTAACGGAGACATACCAATCCCATAAGATTCAGCCAGGAGAGGTCCTGCAGCCAAATCAGCCCAGGAAGCCCTCCCTGGCTAACTTTCCACTATACACCAGCATATTCAAGGTTCTGAGAAGTCCCGCAGTGAGGAAGAGACCAATTCTGTCCCATGGTTCTTAAACACCTTTGACCACAGGATCCTTTCCTTGGAGTCAGGACCTATTCATGTCCCTGTGACGTTTACAAGTCATGCTCCTTCAGGAAATCCTGGATCAGGAAGGGAAGCACACACCTGAGAGCCAGCAGGCCTGGGTTCAAATGCAAGCCCTGCCACTTTCTAGTTCCGTGACCTTGGGCTAGTCTCTTGATCTCCTTGAGCCTCAGTCTCCCCATCTTTAAAGTGGGGACAATAAACTCTGTATCACAGGGTTGTTATGAGGATCAAATGAGGCCATGAGCATGAAATGTTTGTAAAGTGCCTGGTGGGTAAAGTTCCCCATCTTTCCTCAGGATACTTGGGAGTTTTCTGCTACAGTTTGGAAGTGAAGCTGCCTTTTTTTGGGGGACCGACCAGCCTGCAGATAGTCTCTATGTTCGCCGAGCCCAGTAGGCTCACCACCCTGGGGAAAGCAGAGCACCACCTCCCGCTTCCTTCTCTCCCTGCCTGGGTTGCCTATATCGGTTCTCCCTGTCATCCCTCGCCACTCCTCCGTGACGCATGACACCTCCCACGCCCCAAGCTGTTCTCCTGTCTCCTCCTTGGCCTGAAATAGACCCACACCCGAATTAGCCCTGACATCTCCTAGGTGTTTCCATCACTGGTCATTTTGAATGCAGGTGGCTCAGCCAGAGTTCCGGGGCAGGGGATGGGAGTGAGGTAGTATAAGGTCTCCAAGTGGTCCGGGGGGGTGAGGAGTAAATGATATAATGGATGAGAAAGCTGCAGCCCAGTGCCTGGCACGCAGCGATGCTGCAAGAATGGCTTGTCCCTTCCCTTCGATTCTCTGGGGCAACGGGTTTATGATCAAGCCCTACAGCTCTTAGCCTGCGTGACTATCACGCTACCTAACTTGGGGACAGGGGAGCTATCTGAGCAAACGGAAGCCTCGTCACTTGGAAGAAACGGGAGGGTATAGAAAGAAGAAGCCCTCTGAAGGCTTGGAGGCCAGTGAATGGAATTCCTTCATGCCTGTGGGTAAGGAGGTTTTAAAATGCAGACCCCGTGTACAGTGGCAGCCCTCCACCGCCACCCCTCACCCCCGAGGGGCCCGTAAGAATGCAGAGACTCAGGACAAATGCTCCAGCAACAGGCAACAGCAGGAAACACCAGTCCACGTCCGAGGGACAGAACCAGGCCCGAGCCCAAGCGAGCCCCCTGCCCGTCCACTCCGTGAAAGAGAAGAGGAAGAAGTGTTCATCAGTGGCTCAGCCATGCTATGGGGTGAGGCCAAGGAGCTGAACCCCGGCCTGGGTCCCCCTGCCTTGAGGGAATTTTCCAGCCGAGGACTGGAGACTTCACTAGGGACCCAGATGCCAGCTTCAGCCCAGGTCCTGCCCCCAGGCCTTCTTCCCCAAGCCGGGGCCAGGAATGTACTTAGGAGAGGGCCACGCCGCGTGGGATGCCAAATCGGAAGCCAAGGTTACGTCCCTCTTCTGGGCTCCACTGGGGGCTGAGGGCCCGCCAGGAGCCAGCGCCATTTTGGCAGCCGCAAGCGGGTGCGGGACGGACTCCCCGGTGGTGGCTTCTCTCTTAAGCGCCTGCCCCACGTGAGTGGACGATTGCCCCAGAGCTGCCCATGCACATCCAAGATCTGTGCGGTCCAGAACAAGGAGAGGCAAGCCCAGAGTTGGGGGTGAGGGAGAGAGATGCCCATCCAACCGAAGACCGAGCGCTCCCCGTCGGAGACGTACCATTGACTAGGCTGGCATTTGCACTATCTACAGCATGTGAGTCTGCTGCGCCATCGGCCGCTGTGGGGTTGGGAGGGTGGAAAATGCAGCGTGTCACAATGGAGAAAAGCAACAATGCAGAACAGCTACAACAATAAAGACATGAACTGACTTGCGGGAGATAACATGACTCTATTCTTAAAAAAAAAAAAAAAATCTCCGTTGGAACTCAAGAAACTCAAATTTGGGGGTGTGGGTGAAATGTTCCCATAGAGATGCCATAAAAATCAGGGTAAAAGACATGGAGGGTCTTTGAAATAAAACATGGCAGATGATCAAGGCGGTTGGGTAGGATGGCACCAGTGTGTGCTCGAGTCTGGACCGATGCACCCCTTGGCCGTGCCACTCACGCGGGTCCCTGTCAGAGGAGCTTCTATGAGAAGGCATCTGGCTGCCCTCATGGCCAGAGGGACCCAGGGCCAGGAGTCATTTTGAAACGTCCAATACCGGTGCAGCGTGGGCATTCTGATTGGGCATCTGCTCTGACCGCCATCACTGCGCCTCAGCGGAACATGGGACAGCCGTGGTGGTGGCTCAGAACCTAAGCCCTCGACTCGGGCCACTGCCCACGGCCATCTCCTCCTTCCTAACCAGCACTCAAAAGATCACCTGGGTCACCCCCATATGAGATGTCCCATCACCTCGTGGGTGACATCAAGCATGTCACACATTGTACCTGAGACAGAGAAGGTACTAGCAAGTTTTCCTTAGTTTAGAGATTAAAAATGACATGAGATGGTCAAATTCACTCTGGTTGTTCTTTCTAGGGGTGGGGAAGTGGGTTCAGGGGGGCAGGAGAGGGAAGAGACCCTGGTGGGTGGGGCACACGTGGCAAGGGCGGGGCTCTGGGATGGGCTCCGTGGGGTGTGCGCAGGAGAGCGGGGCCGTGGGGTCGCAGGGTGCTGAGCGGGGCACCGCACGCAGCGTGCGGGGCTGCAGGCCGGCGCTGGTGCCATGTGCATCGGGTGGCAGGCTGAGGCTCTGGGGGGCAAATCGGCAGAGTGGGGGGCTGGTTCCCCCAGTGGAGGGTCCGGTGGGTCAGCGAGCCTCCGCCGGCCGTGTGCTGGTGGCTTGGGGCCAGGGCTCAGTGGTGAAAGGCTGCTGCTATTTCTAAAAGCCCCATCTACCCTGAGGGGTATCTTACTGTACCTGGTAGCTGAAGGCCATCCCCCTTCTTCACACCTGTGTGATGATTTTTGAGACATGTTAATGAAGGAGAAGCACACCCAGCCTCACCTGTGCGCACGCACCTGCGCACACACACGCACGCGTGCACACACACACAAACGCACACGTGGCTGCCCGCCTATGGTCATCCTGGAATGGGAGCCCGTGGTTGGCAGGCTCTCAGCAATGACCCCGGTGGAGGTGATGAAATGGGGACGCCCTGGCGGTGCTGCTCATGGGGGCTCGAGGGGCCGGGCTGCCCCGTGTCTCCCTCTGCTCCTGCCTCCCACGTCCCACTTCTTCCCTCCGCGCGACACCCCCATCTCACTGGGGCACAGGTGTGTGCTCAGTGAAGGGCTCTGGCCCTGCTTCGGGTGGGGGAGGCCCGTCTTCCTACTGAAATCTTTGAGAACCCTGGCCCGCCGCCCACATCTGCCCCACTGTCTGCACCCTGGGGCCAGAGCTGGCCACGGCTTCTACGCCACTGTGTGAACTGTCCTGACCCCTCTGTGTCCTCAGTGTCAACCTCAGCTGTCTCCTGTGGCAGGTGTGCTCCCACCTCTGGATTTCTCAGATAACAGCTTAGCTCCTCTGTTCCTGTTGCTGGGGCCGCCATAATCTCAGGGAGACCCTTCTAGAAAATAGGGTATTCCCCTTGGAAACAAGCAACCTTTGGTTATGAACCTAGCTCTGGGCCCCGTTGGCCATTGAGAGCTGGGCGCAGCAGGGCTGTCCCTAAAACTCAAGGAGAGGCCGTCGGCATTCTCGTCTTCTCCCCCTGGACCCCAGATGGTCTGGGTGTCGAGGACCCTCCTCTGGAGCTTGGGGAAGGAGACAGGACACTGATCGGAGACTGTGACATGAGAGGGGTCTGTCCCTGAGACTGAGTTTGGGTGTTGGGTAAGGAGCTGGTTGTGCGAGGGCCAGAGGCCTGGGCCATTGGGACTGGGCTTCTAGTATCTTCTGCGTGCCCCTCCCTCTCCTCTGAGAGGCACCTGTAGCCCGGGCGACCAGCCTCCTGCGCTGAGGGGGAGCCCAGGGAGTAGGAATCTTATTTCCAAGGTGGCAGAGGAGCCAGAGCGCAGACAAGCTGGCAGCCCTGGGGGGATGGCAGAGGGTCCCACGAGTTTGGTCCCCTTGCCCAGAATCTCCTCTGCCCACCTCTGGGCTGAGGCAGTGCTGGGTGTGTTTACAGCTGTGCTCTGTGGAGTTGAGAGCAGTGCAGAGTGAGTGCAACTGGGGCTTTCTGCTCTGTGTCAGGGCGGACGGTGGGACCAGGCCACGCTCAAGGATGGAGACTCGACAAAGTGCCCAGAGCCCTGGGTCTGGGCTGGCGGGAGGGTCCTCCATGACATGACCGGACAGACAGAGACTAGGACAAGACTCTGCAGATGGAACAGACAGAGCCCTCCTGGCCCAGTCCGGGCCTCAAGGATGCAGGAGACGGCTGTTGGCACAGGGCATGGACATAAAAGCCACTCAATAACTATTTTGTTGAGTGAATGAATAAACGACCAAAAAATAAATAAATAAAAAAAAAGCGACCGGAAGAGCTCCTCTCCTGGTCTGTGAGGGCGTTGCGCTTACCTTTCTTGTCTTTCTTCTCTTCCTCCTCACCGCCAGCCCCCAGCAGGGTGAAGATGATGCCCGTCTGAGAATTCACACCCACTGCGGTCACGACCATCCGTCCAGAGCCCTCCATCACATGGGTCCCTGGGGAAGGGGACGAAAGCCAAGTTACCGTTGCATGGACCCAAGCCCCCTCCCCAAAGGAGTGGAAGGAACTGCGTCCCAGGAATCTCCTTGGCTCTGGCTGCCAAGGTCCTGCGGCACCCGCCCATGATTAGGGTTCAAACTATGCCCTCGTGATGACAAGTCTGGGACTCAAACACTGCTACACCTCAGTTCTCAGGCCTCCCATCCAGTACCTTCCCCTGGAGAGCCACCTCCCCGCTCTGTCCTAGACAGGACTGCTTCACATGGGGGCCACTCCCCCCCGGAGCCCTGGCGAGGAACTCAAGGCTCTGCGGACTTGTGGGAGAAGACAACAGCATCTTGATTTTCACAACTGTCTCACTGAAATTTAGCGTTTCTGCCCGCTACGACATAGGCGGCAGACCCCGGGGGGGTGTCGCCCACGACGCCGTTACACGTGTTACAAATATCACAGTTCTCTGTCATGGCTTTAGAGTTGCCGCAATCGCTGATGCTCATCCTGAGTTTACGAGGAAGACCGCAGTCAGACCGACCGCTGGGTCCTGTTACCCCTGTGGCGGCAGAGCAGCGTGGACGTCACCCTATCACGCATTTTTTATTACTGTAATCGTTTGAGTATCACCAGCTTCCCTTGTGACCCAACGTGTTTTATTTTATGCACTTTAAAGCTCTATTCTGAGCAGGGCTGGTACCGGGTGCCACCAGACTTCCCCAGGCTCCTTGGTGAAAGAAAGGTTAAGGACTCCTTTTGTAGAATTTCAGGATTTTTCAAACTGGGCTTAAAAAATTGTTTTTTAAGCTTATTTGCTTCGTTTTGAGAGACGGGGGCTGTGCCCCGATGGCCACGGACACCGGCTGGGATGCTTAAAAGGCCCCGATGAGTTGCTTCTTGAACTCAGTTCTGCGTTTCAGAGTTTTTCCGTCTCTTCCTTCCAGACTGCTGGCCACTCCTCCCTGTTCGCAGGGTGGCTTGTCTCTCTGTTTTCCGGTTCGCTTCAGACCTGCAGTTTAGGTCCGCAAGCCCAGAACTGTACCTCAAAGCACGTTCCTCAAGAAGGGAATCTATTTTCCCTTTTCAAAAGGTTTCACCCGCTCCTTCTTTTTTGTTCTAGGACCTGAGCGATATCCTGAGATCGTGCGTGTGCACGAGCCCGTGTGCACACGTGTGTATGTGTGCGCATGTGTGTATGCGTGTGCTCTAGCCTCTTGCACTCTGAGGTCTCAGGATCTCAGAGTGCTTTACAGGCCGACAGATGGACACTGTCCAGTGAGTCTCTTCATGGCGGGTAAAGGTCAGTCTGTCTAACCGTGCATGGGAATCCAAGTCACGAAGGCTCCCAGAGGGGGCATGAAGCCCAGGGAGCTGTAACAGAGCCCACACGGTCGGCTGGCTCCTTGTTCGTTCCCAGGACAGGAGGACACCACTCTTTCGTCTCTGGGCGGCACACAGTGGGGACCACAGTGTGGGCTTGGACACCGACTCGAGGCCAAGCAGCCCAGGCACAAACTGGGAGAAGACCTCGGTAGCCTGGGAGCTGGAGGGGACACGTGACGGTGGGGTCACCAGATCCTTTGAGCTGAGGGAGGAACGCAGTGCCCTGGTCCAGAGCGCAGGCGGCAGTGGCCGTGGCCAGTGCTGACCTCTGTAGCGCACCTACTGCGTGCCAGGCATCGACTGAAACCTTTCACACGCCATCATCTCGTCAGTCTTCACCCCGGGCCTCGGTCTACAGAGGAGGAAGCTGAGGCTCAGGGGGAACTGGCTTGCCCAGAGCCGGGATTTGAACTCTTCCCTCTCTCTGAGCCGATCTTCTTTGACACCGACCAGCCCCCACCCCAGGAAGCCCTCACATCCTGGTCTCCGATAGATTCTGAAAAAGCTTCTCTGCCTGGGTGGTGATGAGGAGGCCGGTCCCCACCTCCCCAGCCCCAAGCAGGATGGAAAAGTACACAGGGGGCCAATTTCCACCCAAGATAATCAGACCCCAAACCACCTTTTAATCAAATCACCTCCCATCACAGCAGGGAGCTGGCGGCTCTGCATCGGGAGGAGGGAGGAGGAAGCCAAGGAGGCAGCCTCCGGCCACAACACAGGACGCGGGGACAGGGGGTGAGGGCGCAGCACATGCCTGCTCAGCCTCAGATGAGCCTCAGCCTGGTCTTCCAGGCCCCAGTATTAGATGGGCCGGGAGAGCTGGGGGTGCCAGCCGCCCCTGCCCTGCCCCTCCCTCCCCCTGTGCCCCAGCAGTGCCCCCCCATCCCCCGCCATGGCTCTAACCACGGTCCCCAGCCCAGACACCTCGATCGCATCTCTGAAGTCCAAATACCTCTCGGCACGCTTTGGATGAGACCGCAGCCTGCTTCTGACCCTTGGCCACCGATTCCTGCCCCGGGGCCTCTGCCCTGGGAGCGAGCAGCTGACCGGGAATTTGCGTCCAGCCCCCACCTTTGCTCACACGGTTCCCACTCCCTGAGGGCCCTTCTCCCTCCTCTGGTCCAAAACCTCCTGCTCCAGGCTCGGGACGAACGCCCCTCTCGGGTGGCCTTCCCTGACCTCCCTCCCCCCAACAAGGGGACTGTATCTCTCTGGACTGCTCCCCTCCCGCAGTTTCCCCTGGGGGTGCTGTCAGGCCTGGCTCCCCAGCCAGGCTGGGGGCTCCTTCGAGTCGGTTCTGAGCGCGAGTCTCCTCTCAGCAGAGCCCAGCTTGTGGCAGGAACTCCAGCCTCTTTCTTACGGCTGCCTCCTTGCTTTGCAGTTTCCATGGTGGGTGTGCGTTACGTTCACCCTTCATAAGCCGTCTTTACGGTTTTGCCAAAGGCCGGATTTATCCCTGCCTTGCACTCATCCCCGCACCTCACTGGGCCGTCGCTCTGTCGTCTCAGAGGCTGGCTGCCCCTCCGACTAGAGGACGACTTGAGTGGACCACGTCGCCCCTTCAGCGATCACACCCCAGCGCCAGAGTACCCCGCAAAGGGCAACGCTTAACCCCAAGGGCCGCAGCTCTAACGGCGGGACCACAGGCATGTGAGTCAAGGTCGACTAACTCTTGCACAGGAAAGCTGCGGGGTGTCTGGGGAGGGCAGAGGTGAGAGCCCTTCGGTCTGGGGGTCCTGGCAGAGCCCCGCGCCAGCACCTCATGTCCGCGGTCCTCTGCCATCATCCTGTAGCCCCCGTCTCCTGTAGCTCTCCTGGAGCCCCGCAGAATACACAAACGCGGGGCGGGGGGTAAAGAGAGAGAGCCCTGGGCTCGGGGGTGGGTGGGACCTGGGACCCAGTCTGTTGCCCACTTCTGACTTCCTGTGCGACCCGAGGCCAGCCCTCTCCCCCCGGCCCTCGGTCTGTCCTCTGTACGGTGGGTGGTCTGCCTTAGGTCATCACCACTGAGGGATGCAGTCTGGGCACCCAGGGTCCCACGGGGACAAGGGCCGCTCCTGGGTGGCGTAGGGCGGCCTCCATTAAAAGGCTGTGTCTTGGAAGTTTGGATCTTGGTTTGGGTGGGGCCGGTAGACTGACAGACTGACAGACTGACAGACTGTCAGACTGACAGACAGACTGACCACGTGTGGCATTTCCTGCACAGGCCACACTCGTTTCCCTGATGGACAGGTGAGGTTAGGACGCCAGCTCTGTGCCAGGCTCTGGGGCCCAAAGGGAGGTCCCTGCCCTCCAGGAGTTCACAGTCTAGCCGGGGCGGGGTGGGGGGTGCAGACAGGAGCACAGATCCATAACGACACAAGACGCCCGAGGCCCAGGGCCCAGTGGACCGGCGGGGCCAGGGGGCGGGCGCAGCCCAGGCAGAGACGGAGAGGCGGCACAGTGCGATGGCAGCTCAGGGCCACGTAGGGAGGAGCAGGAGAGAAGCTGGATGGTGGAATGGCCTGAGCGGAGAGAGCGCTGCGGAGCTGGGTCTCCGCTGGGTTTCAAGGGGGAGCCACCGGAAGCATTTGCGGGGCAGGGAGGGAGAGAACGAGTATTTAGTGAGCAGTCCCTTCACGCCAAGTACTGTCTGGGCCGCTTTTTCCACTCGGCCGACATAATCACCCCGCGAGTGACCATCATCGCCCCCATTTCACAGACGGGCGAGCAGCCCAGAGAGGTCGCCCCTGCATTCAGCCTGGGGGCGGTGCCGTGCCGGGGCTCTCCACCTTGCTGGGAAGGCCCGTAGGGGAGGAGCTGCTCGGGAGCACTCTGAGGAGTGAAGTGGATGCAGGAGAACGGAGGGGAAGCTGTGTCAGCCACCCGGCGGCCATCTGTCCATGACAGAGAAAGGAGCTCAGGCGCAGGGGACGCTGGGCGTTCCACCCGCCAGGTGGCCTGTCCCGTCTCACCCCCACACGGGAGCTCTGCAGCCTTTGACCTGGCGGCAGAGGGTGGGCCAGGACCTTCCCAACTGCTGACTCCAGGCCATCTCGGCTCCTGACAGACAGTCCCCACTGTGCCTGGTCCAGATGCCAGCGTCTTGGGCCCAAAGCCTTAGGCAATGGCAAGTGGGGTGCCCTGAGCCACTGGTAGTGGAGCTGGAGGGACCTAGTTTCACAGAGTGAGGCTTCCGTGGCCAGAGAGGGCAAATGGCTGACCGAGGTTGCACAGTATGAGGCACAGGTTGGGGCTCGAACCTGGGGCTCCTCCCTCTCCTGGCTTTGACTTCCTGGGCCTCTCTTTGGACAGAAGAGGGGAGAGGCCTTACCTCCTAAAAGGTCTCTTTCTGGGGGTAGAGATATGAAGAGAGGATAAAGGCCACTTCTGGGAATTAGAATCTGCCGCCAGGCAACAAGGTCCAAGCAAAGCCAGTGCAGTGCCCAGCGTGGGAGCAGCTCCATCATTATTGTTATCAACACAGTTAATAACAGTAATAACACGCGCTCGCAGAGCACCAGACAGTTTGCAAAGCATTTCAGCGCCCACAGCCTGTCCTCCTCACAACAGCCCTGTGAGGTAGGTTTCGGTGCAAGTACCCCCCGAGCCCCTCCCCTCCCCATGGGCTCTCTGGCTCAGA